CAGCCATGTAGGTACCTTCAGCCTGTACTCTTCTCCTGAATGCATGCCACCTCGCAATCTAAGATGGCTTAGGCGAGTAATGATTACTTAGAAGTTCTTGTAAGTCTTCCCAGGATACCGCTTTAACAGTCTGAGGCGCCAACAGTGCTGTGGTGGTATAAAAAACCACGGCCCCACAAAAGCTTAGAAAATATGCTTTTTTCCTGTGGTTTGAAATCAGCAGCATCTAGGAAACAATCAAAACGATTTATGTAAGAGTCCCAAGTTTCTGACAATGGGTGGAAACACGGGAATGATGGAATAGACGACATCTTGTCTTTCCTGAGGTAACAAGAAATGGCGATACCTTCGGCTCTAGTAATTTCTCAGCTCTCAGAATGGCATCCCACCTTTGTCACCAATTTTATAGTCTTTTAAAAGAATGAGCTGAGACAGGCATTCACAAGCAATCAGTGTTTAATGCAGTGGTTCCCAAAGTAGGGGATACTGCCCCCAGGGGGGGGGATGCCTTAGGGGGGCACTAAGGGGCAAGGGGGCTGGCGGGGGGCACTAAGAGGCGGCGTTTGAAGCCCTGCAGGGTCACCCCATTGACTGTTGCACCGCTCCGGAGACGGAACCTCGAATGCGGCAGCTCCGATGCACCTCATTGTAATGGGCTCCAGGAGGAGGAGGAGGGGATGGAGTAAAGTGCACTAAATTTGAGTGTGCTGCACAGGTGCTGCAAGAGCAGCGAACAGCCATGGACCTGGCTGTGGTGGGGCCTGGAGGGTGCGCACGAGAGGAGAAGGAGGGGAGAGGGAGGAAGGAAGCCTCCGCCACAGCTTGTGCTCATTCCTCAGCCAACCTGGATTTCCACAAACTCACCAAGAAGAAAGAAAAGAAGCTTCTCACACTCTCAGAAAGTCCTGCATGCTCTACTTGGGGCTCTTCGCTATCCTTTTTTCTTCCTTCCTTTTGGAAATCCGGGCTAGCTGAGGAATGAGCGGAAGCCGCAGTGGAGGCTTCCTTCCTTCCTTCCTCCTCCTCCTCCTCCTCCTCCTCCTCCTCCTCCTCCTCCTCCTCCTCCTCCTTCTCCTCCTCCTCCTCCTCCTCCT